GAAAAAAAATTAAGATAAGTTTTGCGTTGTTGGTAGTATATATCGTCTTTTGGTGTCGTCGTTGTATTTTAGCATGTTTTCGGGTTATTGTTGCGTTGATTCGGTGATTGACGAAATGTCTACGTAGTAAAATAAGGGTTACGTTGATATGGTCTTGGTCGGATTTTTAAATTTGTAACGTTCAGATGTACAGGCTATTGTGCTATTAATTATAATTGCCGATATTGTCGTGCAAGGGCCGACAGAGGCAAGCCGTAAGATAAGGAACTTCAAGTGTTTGCTAATTGCGCCGATCGAATTACATGTAATAGTTGGAGATTACATCAGAATTTGGTAACATAGATAAGAAGCGGCATTCGTGGTGATAAGGAACGTGTTCTTAGGCAAATTTGAATATAGAGGCAATATCAAAGCTTTGGTCTATAATGGGAATATTAAAAACGGGTGTCGAAATAAACCGGACCGAACTGGTTTAGGCAAGGCACGTGCGTAGGCAGACAGTACTTAAAAACGGACACACAGACAGACAAACACGTGTACTTTTGAACTTTAATATTACGCGAGAGTGACAATTAAACGTCGTGACGGGTAATGAAGGAAGGAGGCTCATATGGCGTGGTGAAAACAGGTTAGTTTATCTCGAAGTGAGGTTAGAGACCCAGTATTTATTTTTTAAGGTTATCCTGCTGTTAAGTAATAGGAGCTGCTTTACACATTTTTACTCAAATCAAATCAAATCAATATTTAGTACACATTTGACAATGTAAGAACTTATCTTTCACAAAGGGTATGCATTTTAGAAATTTCAAATGCAAATAAAGGAAAATGTGATATACAATAATTAACAGAACGTTTTATGAAAAACAATCTTTGGACAATTTACTAACCTTATTAAAAAAAATTCTAGTGAAGTGGATACCTCCATTTTTCTATACATTGATTAAAAGAAAAAAAAAAAGAATTATTAAAAATCTCTCATGGACAACTTACTTATTAAAAAAAAAAAAAATGCCTTAGTTTGCAATGAGGTGGGTACCTCCATTTCTCTGTACCTTTCAAGTTCAAGTTAAGTTTTCCAGTTCTTTCTAACGCATCAAGCAAGTCATCTGTTTTCTTTCCTTGTTTTTCATTTCTGTCTTTATCCTTGTAATAAGCAAGTATATTCAAATTCACCATATCATTGTCCCTTTCCTCAGTACGCAGCTCATACTTTTCCTTCACTTGTTCGTCATTTCCGTCATTGTCCTCATAGTGACTCTCTTTTTCATTTGCCTCGACCTTATCATTGTCCATTTCTTCAACACGCAGTTCATTATTTTCCTTCACTTTTTCATCATTTCCGTCATTGCCCTCAAAGTTACTCTCATTTTCATTCAGTTTAGCCGTCTTATTAATGTCCATTTCTTCAACATGCAGTTCGTTCCTTTTCTTCACTTGTTCATCATTTCTGTCCTTGTCCTCATAAAAACACTCATTTTCATTCAGTGTGACCCTATCGATGTCCATTTCTTCAACAAGCAGTCCATTCTTTTCCTTCAATTGTTCATCATTTCCGTCATTGTCTTCATAGTTTTCAACATCAGGGCATTGTAACATTTCGTCAATATTGAACTTCAACTTATCAGCATCATTAGACTTCAACAGTTCAGCATCACTGGACTTAAACAAATCAGCATCACTGGACGACAACCCCTCTTCACCAAGGAACAGCAACATTTCTGCATCAGGGGAATTTAATACATCAGAATCACCACTGGTCATAAAGGGTTTCAAAATCTCATATTCGGGAGATTTTGCTTCGTCAGCAACGTCACTGACCACATTATTGTTGCCTCCATCGGGGAGCTGCAACATCTCGGCACCAGGGAATTCATCTTTTGGAGATTTGTTAGCAACACCGCTGATCACAATCTCATTGCTCTGGGTCCTCTCTCCAACTTCTTTACATGTTACGGTATCTTCACCACAGCTGTCATCATCCATTTTGCTTCTCTGCCCCACTTCCATCTGAATGCTACGTATTATTGCTTCGAAAGATAGTTCGTTTCTGTTGTCAAACTCTGTTGTTTCTTTTTTCATAACTTCCCACAGATTTGCAAGGGAATTTGACAATAAAAGTGCATCTTCTTTGCTAGTTTCCTGCGTCTTCAGAACACTACTGATTCCACCCAGACAATCTAACAGCCTGCTGTAGATGTCTGGGTCTTCATACTGGTCCTCGTCTTCATACAGCATCCTGACTATAAACTGCCTTTCTGTCTCAGCTGCTTAAGGTGAAACCTGGGAGCTCGCCATTTGTAATAACCAGTCGGTGGTTATACACTTTCTTTAAGTTACTTTTTCACCAATAAGTCAGCCGAGACAGGCAGGTATAGTTTTCTGTTACATGGTTTATTCAAGCACCTGAAGACTCAGGTCTCTTCTATCGTATCTATAACTTTCTCTCCCTCTCTCAGTCTGTCAGCCTCTCCTTTATACTCTATCTTAATTTGCATTTCAAATTAGCTTTTGTAACTGTCATGAAACATGCCATGGCTATGTACATTAACTTAATTGTAGATACATTTAAATTAAATCTTGATTTGCATTTTAAATGAACTTCTCTTAAACTGCCATGCAACATGTCATGTCTATGTACATTTGAATAATTAAACGTACAAATATATACATATCTGATGTATGCAAATTTAGAAGACTATCAGTTCTAATTAACGGATCACTACATGGCNTTGTCGTTATAATATTAATAATAACTAGACTGCAACTGGCTAAAGCCAGTGGCCGAGGATTCCCCTGCAAAATAGGTGTGGAAATGCTCTTACAAGGTCATGTGAAGGTCATGGGTTAAATTTGACCACGTATTCTGAAAGGGCATGTGCAAATTGGGGGTGGGGGGTCAACAAAACATCACTTTTAGCCCTCTTCAATATTTCTCCATGAAATAGCCGAATGACCTTGAAAATGAGAGTCAAGGTCAAATTTGACATTTGATTTGGGGGTGTTGGATATATGTTTGGGGTAGTTTACTATAGCATGTTATCACAATAAATCAGGATTTCATGGAGAAATCGACAAAGTCGCTATTTCTGTGAAATTATTAATATTCAAAAATCTATATTAAAAAAAACTAATCAGTCAATTGTCATTATTAATAGCGAATGCACTGGATAGATATCTAGGGCAACTTTTTACATCGTCCTTGTGGCTCTGTGACATCTGGTTTACCCCCTGCCGAGTGTCAACCTCCTGGAGCATATTTTGCAATAAGTTGACCTTGACCTGACCTACTTTTCCTAAAATTGGGTCATATGATATAGAATTATTATATGACCTCACCTATGAAAGAATTTGTCAAAATGTTGAAAATTCTAGGAGATATTGCATTTTGAAATTTGCAAAAATTCCACTTTAAAAGGCTCTGTGACCTTGAAAAGTAGGTCAAGGTCAAAAAAATTGGGTGGACCGGAATAACTTTTTATAGGCTATCAGTATGAATTTTTTCAGAATTTTAGAAAGAAATTTTTTGACGAAAAATAATAAGAAGAAGAATAATAAGAATACCAAAAACAATAGTATTCCCCTATGGGTAATCATTATAATAATAATAATAATAATAATAATTATTATAATAATAATAATAATAAAAATAATAATAATGATGCAATTAATTAAAAATGATGATTTCGTCAATATTCAAAGAACATTTAATTTAATTAAAATACGGCGTATATGCCTTGCCAAAATGCGATAGTTGAGACAGATCGAGCGGAATATTTACCGTCACAACTAACACAATATGCATCTTGGCACTATTTCATAGGCAAAGACTTTTTGATTATGTTCTGAATCCAGTTAGTGATTCCGAAGATAAACTCTTTAAATCACAAACATTTGTCTACCTGACGTGTAAAGATAAAGAGAGAGATCATATTTAATCATATTTAAGTTAAGATTTTTTTGTATAAACTGTTCACTAACATTTGAACGATGGATGGAACATGTACTAACAAACGGGTCAAATTGTGCTAGTTGTGACAAACTAGGAGAAGCACTTAAAGTCGCACCTAACACAATTTCAAGATTTTTGTTGTTTTATATGTTGGAAATGTTCAGCTTATAAATTATTTACTGGTTTTATAATACCTGTATATTAGAAGATTTATGTTCAGTTGAAGTGTACAATTAATAGAAATCAAATTCTTCCTATTTTTATTTCATTTTTTCTTATTATTGTCACTTATTTTTGTGCTTCTCTAAGAACTATTACTATAACAAATTAAATTTGTATACAATAATATGTTGAAAGGAGTAAATATTCAAGTATATTTCCCACTTCAGTCAATCAACCAAAGTCAAACATTCCATCATGTTCAATTTTGTGTTAGCAGTACATTTTTCTTGTCCTTTCTATTGAAAAAGAATAAAAATCATATAACCAGCGAGTGCCAGTGAACACATTTTGATAACATACCATTTATTTCAAAGAAACAGTGCTCATTTTACAGATGATAAAAGACACAAATTTTAGTAAAAATTTAAGTTATTTTTCTGAAAAGGAATCCATCAGGTGGTGCCACACAGTGTTTGAGAAAAAAAATCCTGAATCTTTTTAAAATTATTTGTTCGATTCTTAAACTCAAAACAACAAATACAAAATAAATAGATGAACACAAGTTTAAAGAAATACAGAGAGAGAGTACAGATGGAGATGGAGACATTTGGTGAATCAGAATGTACACACTTGTAGATATCAGGTAAAGTCAGAGATAGATTTTCTTGCTGAATATCTTTTGTAATTCTTATTTACAATATTTGCCTTTCATAAAGTAATCATTGTGAAATGACCATTAGTTCTGCTTTTTACAGTTTTCATATGCCAACACGACAATACTGAATATTCAGTCTTATATTATGTAAATAAGCTTATTGATGCCATTATCCAATATGATACTTTACTGATTTTTTTTCAGTTGAAATATCATCCATGGGGGGCTATACTGTTTTTTTCCTGTACTAATATACAGAAAGAGCTAGTCTCACACAACTATACATGTCCTTAACTTGAAATACTCCTTTTAAGAAATACCACCCTTCACAGAGATATCCATTTAATATAATGACTACTACAACAGGAATAAAAACAGAACTAAAATAAAAATAAAATTTTTCATTTCAAAATGAAATCAAACTGACACAGATCAGGCTGCTTGAAGAATACGCATCTTTAACTGCACTTTTGGCAGCAAAAAATGAAATAAATTAACTTTTTTTCCTACATAAAAAAGATGATCTATGCTTGGCATGTTTACAGCACCAAAAAATAAGGGAAAAACTTGTCTCTGTATCTCCCATCATTATTTTCTAATTGACACCTCAGATCCAAGTGTCTGGGCATCAAAGTGTTTCATTCTTAAGACTCAAAATATGAGTACGTTCAATATGTGATCATATGTATACTTCATAATATTTAAATGAACTTCATCTTTGGCATCTAAATTTCTAGCTATTTTTGAAAGATATTCACAAATATTTATCTGGCTTATTCACTAGCTATGCACATGTCTGATCTTGTAATCCAGTGAGAACTTTTCCCCAAAAGTAATAGCATCCGGCTAGTCTGACAGAGAGTAATGCTACATATATATGGACTCATAACATTGAACTGGTTAATTACTTGACAGCATATAAGGAGAAAAGGGGGGCAAGGTGGACTGTGCCGGTTGCCTGTTATTTTTGATGGTACAACATTAAGTGTGTATTGTGTAGACTTTAGGCTACATATGCAACATGAGTACATACAATTGCAGTAGGTGTGGCATGGATATTCACATTATGTGACCTTCACAATGCTGTAGTTGTGAAGCCTTCACAAGGGTTATTCCAAAATGTAGGTTAAAAATACCAAATGCATTCCATTCATAATGCTTAGGTATTCCCACTTTACTGTTATGCATGGAAATTTACAGGCCTTTTTTCCAGAAATCATTAACTGGATTTCCACTTTTTGTATGAAATATGCCAACAGTTCTGGTACAACGAGTAGGGAATTTTAATGGGAATTGGAGCATCTTGTGAAAAAAATAGACTGAAATTAGCCATAGTCCCAAACTCTCATGCAGACAGAACAAACTTTGCATATACTTTTACCTACCTTTTCAACCTCCTTTCTGAACTTATCACATTAAATTTTTCTGTACTTTACAAAATGGGAACCAGGGTTTTGTGCTATTAATACTCCCAAGACTTAAAAATCTTTGTAAAATTCCCCTCAGTTGTACCTTATACAAGTATAATACACTGCCACATATATTATATTGTCACAGTATCTTGTATAATACAGTGGTGCCACAAAGCTACAAAAGAAGACTTATTCTTTACCCCTGTGACAAGGGTTAATCCAGCATTCATAACTCTCACAAGCTGATAGCTCTATCCCCTGGTTGTCTTAAGGACACCTCTCTGAATCAATGTTTGTGTTGGAACACAGGCAAACATACAGAATTAAAACAAGATACAGTGTAGGGGCTTGTGCTTTACTTTGGGAACACCCTGTTGTTATATATATACTAGTATATACTGCAGACTGGCAGTGAAATGCTTAATAATGACATATAATACCACTTCATAAAACTTTACTTGTACAATGATTGTGTGAATTAAAGTTATGCAGGTACAACAATAAATCAACTAGTTTAGCTCTTTTGTCTTATTTGGTTCTTGTCATTTACAACTTTCATTGTGATTTTGGGGAAGTTCCACGCTAAGCAGATGTCACTGCAATTTTCTGTGAATATTTACGCAGAATACCCGGTTCCTACAAAGTTGTCACATCAAATAACTTCATGTTCACACACGATGACACGCTACTGCACTGTCCTATATCCTTAGCACGTCCCATTGTGCACACATGTTCTCTCCTTTTCTTTTTTTTTTTCGATCCCCTCACTGTCTTGTTTATTTCCAGCCACAGTACATATATCTGTACATTATCCCCAATAACTTTCTTCCTCTGTCATGGAAAAGTTCAGTTTGACAAAGAAACCTTCAGATGCTTAGAACCCCTCTCCATAGAAAAATAAAGTTTAACTCTGCACTACACTCATCCCTCTGGTGGTCTGTATTCAAACTATCCTCTACTATTATGCCATGCAATTTCCCCTTACATGTCTCACATGGGAGGAAGTTACACTTCCATATATCTATCCTTTCTTGTCATGGGTTGATTGCTCTAGCATTATTACACTAAGTTTGCTGAGGAAAAATATTCTCACTTTCTCTCTCTCTTTCAAATGCACTGCTTCTGAACATTTCATACAAAGTCCAACTGCTTCCTGAAACCAGTTTTTCATGTCAAAGGAAAGAAGGAAATTCTCCAAAAGGAGGAAAACTTCCACCCTTGATCATCCTGTTTCTATTTAAAAAATTTCCCAACAACTGCAAGATTCACTGACAAAAGAAGGGAATTGTCTTTTTCAGTGAAATCCACAGTACATTTGCATGAGAAATGCTGTATAATTTGACTTAATAAGAGCCACCTGCTGCGTTTGTCATTCCTTTACAGAAGTCAACAAGAAATCATGTCCCTGAACTTTGCTCTAGACCTGCGTATCATATAACAATTGCTGTCAGCTGTCCAAACATGTTTTATGGGAGCATGATCAAATTTCAACATTTTATAATAGATTTCGAGCAATTTTTTCGATGAAATATATATATAACAGTACATAACAATGCCACAATAATAAAAGATGGACAGTTTCTCCTCTATTCAGCTTTGTTTTTAGATCCTTTCTTTTCTCCCTTTTCCTGGTTGGGGTTCTTTTCTGTTAAAAGCTCTTGCATGTGAATTTTCCGTACTTTAAATTTGTACTTAATGTCTTGGATATATTCCTGTTCCTCCTTGTCGAGAATTTTGAGAAAATTCTGAAGTTCTGGTAGGCTGAATTCTTCCCACTGAAACAAAGTGAAAATCTGACATTTAATACTGTACAGGAGTGATTAGCTGATGAAAAAATAATTACCAAGAATTAGCATTGCTATATTTCCATGGCGGAAGTCTGTATTCTTGGAGTACTATCTAATTTTAAAAGCATCCTGCAATTTCATAACTTTTCAACAGTTTTGCAAAGGCTATGCATTGACGATAAGGTTAACATGATAACTTACAAGTATCTCCTGCATGTCGTTCTCTTGAAGCACAAACTTGCGATGCTCCATGCGAGCAGATGGCCAGTCGAGACACACCATCAGGGGGTGCTCGTTGTCTGTAAGTTTTCTTAGTTTCACTAAAAAAATGAAAATATAGTCCTGTTGATCAAAGACTTATGTAAAATTTATTTTCACTGCCCTTTTTTAGCTTAGTGATTTTGGTAAGTTCTACTGACAGCAAAAAAGATAAGGCTTTTTTTAATACAGTTGTAGTAATTAATTGAGTCATGAAATGTACTTTGGCGAAAAGCTGTTTAGGTTTTCCCCTTTAAATTACTTCAATGATTTACACTTTGATGCAGAAAACATCTGAATTTGATCAATTCCATTCATCACATTCATTTCCAAAATATACTCCCTATTCTGATGTTAAACAATATTGAGTAATATAAAAAAAAACAAGTCAACAAAGTAAACCCTATGGCCATGAATCTCACCAGGGTTTTCCTTATTCTCATCATTGTAACTCTGCTCATAAAGGGCAAACTTCCTGGGGTTATCTGTGATTTTGAACTTCCTTAAAAGAACATCTATGACTTGTCGAACTGTGGTGGCACTAAACAGAAAATTGAATATTCACCATTATAAACATTCATATAGATATATTAGAATAAATAATACCATTAACAAATACTCCTAAAATTAGAGTGCTTTTGTTTTATAATTTCAGTTTGCTAAGGATTTGCATTCAGCGAGATCTACAAAACAACAATTACAAAATACGTTTAATGTACTGCTCTTCCCTTTTTCTGTACATTATTATGGTAGACTAACAGACTTAATTTAAGCTACAGTATTCCAAACTAATAAAATATGAAAATGCACACAGGCACATAGGTACATATAGAGGCTCAATGGGGGTGGGGGTGGGGGGGGGGAGGGNATTATTTGTTCGATTCTTAAACTCAAAACAACAAATACAAAATAAATAGATGAACACAAGTTTAAAGAAATATATAAAGAGAGAGTACAGATGGAGACATTTGGTGAATCAGAATGTACACACTTGTAGACATTAGGTAAAGTCAGAGATAGATTTTCTTGCTGAATATCTTTTGTAATTCTTATTTACAATATTTGCCTTTCATAAAGTAATCATTGTGAAATGACCATTAGTTCTGCTTTTCACAGTTTTCATATGCCAACACAACAATACTGAATATTCAGCCTTATATTATGTAAATAAGCTTATTGATGCCATTATCCAATATGATACTTAATTGATTTTTCTTCAGTTGAAATATCATCCATGGGGCCATACTGTTTTTTTCCTGTACTAATATACAGAAAGAGTTGGTCTCACACAACTATACATGCCCTTTACTTGAAATACTCCTTTTATGAAATACCAACCTTCACAGAGAGATCCATTCAACATAATGACTACTACAACAGGAATAAAAACAGAACTACAATAAATAAAATTTTTCATTTCAAAATGAAATCAAACTGACAAAGATCAGGCTGCTTGAAGAATACGCATCTTTAACTGCACTTTTGGCAGCAAAAACTGAAATAAATTAACTTTTTTTCCTACATAAAAAAAGATGATCTATGCTTGGCATGTTTACAGCACCAAAAAATAAGGGAAAAACTTGTCTCTGTATCTCCCATCATTATTTTCTAATTGACACCTCAGATCCAAGTGTCTGGGCATCAAAGTGTTTCATTCTTCAGACTTAAAATATGAGTAAGTTCAATATGTGATCATACGTATACTTCATAATATTTAAATGAGCTTCATCTTTGGCATCTAAATTTCTAGCTATTTTTGAAAGATATTCACAGATATTTATCTGGCTTATTCACTAGCTATGCACATGTCTGATCTTGTAATCCAGTGAGAACTTTTCCCCCAAAAGTAATAGCATTACGCTAGTCTGACAAAGAGTAATGCTACATATATATGGACTCATAACACTGAACTGGTTAATTACTTGACAGTATTGAAAGAGGAAAGGGGGGCAAGGTGGATTGTGCCAGTTGCCTGCTATATTTGATGGTACAACATTTTAATGTTTTAACAGTTAAACGTGTGTATTGTGTTGACTTTAGGCTACATATGCAACAGGAGTACATACAATTGCAGTAGGTGTGACATGGATATTCACATTATGTGACCTTCACAATGCTGTAGTTGTGAAGCCTTCACAAGGGTTATTCCAAAATGTAGGTTAAAAATACCAAATGCATTCCATTCATAATGCTTAGGTATTCCCACTTTACTGTTATGCATGGAAATTTACAGGCCTTTTTTCCAGAAATCATTAACTGGATTTCCACTTTTTGTATGAAATATGCCAACAGTTCTGGTACAACGAGAAGGGAATTTTAATGGGAATTGGAGCATCTCGTGAAAAAAATAGACTGAAATGTAGCCATAGTCCCAAACTCTCATGTAGACAGAACAAACTTTGCATATACTTTTACCTACACCTTTTCATCCTCCTTTCTGAACTTATCACATTAAATTTTTCTGTACTTTTCAAAAATGGCACCCAGGGTTTTGTGCTATTAATACTCCAAGACTTAAAAATCTTTGTAAAATTCCCCTCAGTTGTACTTTATGCTAATATAATACACTGTGGCATATATCATATTGTCACACTATCTTGTAAAATAAAGTGATGCCACAAAGCTACAAAAGAAGACTTATTCTTTACCTTGTGACAAGGGTTAATCCAGCATTCATAACTCTCACAAGTTGATAACTCTATCCCCTGGTTGTCTTAAAGACACCTCTCTGAATCAAAGTTTGTGTTGGAACGCAGGCAAACATGCAGAATTAAAAGAAGATACAGTGTAGGGGCTTGTGCTTTACTTTGGGAACACCCTGTTGTTATATATATACTAGTATATACTGTAGACTGGCAGTGAAATGCTTAATAATGACATATAATACCACTTCATAAAACTTCACTTATACAATGATTGTGTGAATTTAAGTTCTGCAGGTACAACAATAAATCAACTAGTTTAGCTCTTTTGTCTTATTCGGTTCTTGTCATTTACAACTTTCATTGTGATTTTGGGGAAGTTCCACGCTAAGCAGATGTCACTGCAATTTTCTGTGAATATTTATGCAGAATACCCGGTTCCTACAAAGTTGTCACATCAAATAACTTCATGTTCACACACGAAGACACACTACCGCACTGTCCTATATCCTTAGCACGTCCCATTGTGCACACATATTCTCTCCTTTTCCTTTTTTTTTTCAATCCCCTCACTGTCTTGTTTATTTCCAGTCACAGTACATATATCTGTACATTACCCCCAATAACTTTCTTCCTCTGTCATGGACAAGTTCAGTTTGACAAAGAAACCTTCACATGCTAGAACCCCTCTCCATAGAAAAATAAAGTTTAACTCTGCACTACACTCAGCCCTCTGGTGGTCTGTATTCAAACTATCCTCTACTATTATGCCATGCAATATCCCCTTACATGTCTCACATGGGAGGAAGTTGCACTTCCATATATCTATCCTTTCTTGTCATGGGTTGATTGCTCTAGCATTATTACACTAAGTTTGCTGAGGAAAAATATTCTCACTTTTTCTCTCTCTTTCAAATGCACCGCTTCTGAACATTTCATACAAAGTCCAACTGCTTCCTGAAACCAGTTTTTCATGTCAAAGGAAAGAAGGAAATTCTCCAAAAGGAGGAAAACTTCCACCCTTGATCATCCTGTTTCTATTTAAAAAATTTCCCAACAACTGCAAGATTCACTGACAAAAGAAGGGAATTGTCTTTTTCAGTGAAATCCACAGTACATTTGCATGAGAAACGCTGTATAATTTGACTTAATAAGAGCCACCTGCTGCGTTTGTCATTCCTTTACAGAAGTCAACAAGAAATCATGTCCCTGAACTTTGCTCTAGACCTGTGTATCATATAACAATTGCTGTCAGCTGTCCAAACATGTTTTATGGGAGCATGATCAAATTTCAACATTTTATAATAGATTTCGAGCAATTTTTTCGATGAAATATTTATATAACAGTACATAACAATGCCACAATAATAAAAGATGGACAGTTTCTCCTCTATTCAGCTTTGTTTTTAGATCCTTTCTTTTCTCCCTTTTCCTGGTTGGGGTTCTTTTCTGTTAAAAGCTCTTGCATGTGAATTTTCCGTACTTTAAATTTGTACTTAATGTCTTGGATATATTCCTGTTCCTCCTTGTCGAGAATTTTGAGAAAATTCTGAAGTTCTGGTAGGCTGAATTCTTCCCACTGAAACAAAGTGAAAATCTGACATTTAGTACTGTACAGGAGTGATTAGCTGATGAAAAAATAATTACCAAGAATTAGCACTGCTATATTTCCATGGCGGAAGTCTGTATTCTTGGAGTACTATCTAATTTTAAAAGCATCCTGCAATTTCATAACTTCTCAACAGTTTTGCAAAGGCTATGCATTGACGATAAGGTTAACATGATAACTTACAAGTATCTCCTGCATGTCGTTCTCTTGAAGCACAAACTTGCGGTGCTCCATGCGAGCAGATGGCCAGTCGAGACACACCATCAGGGGGTGCTCGTTGTCTGTAAGTTTTCTTAGTTTCACTAAAAAAATGAAAATATAGTCCTGTTGATCAAAGACTTATGTAAAATTTATTTTCACTGCCCTTTTTTAGCTTAGTGTTTTTGGTAAGTTCTACTGACAGCAAAAAAGATAAGGCTTTTTTTTAATACAGTTGTAGTAATTAATTGAGTCATGAAATGTACTTTGGCGAAAAGCTGTTTAAGTTTTCCCCTTTAAATTACTTCAATGATTTACACTTTGATGCAGAAAACATTTGAATTTGATCAATTCCATTTATCATATTCATTTCCAAAATATACTCCCTATTCTGATGTTAAACAATATTGAGTAATAAAAAAAAATCAAGTCAACAAAATAAACCCTATGGCCATGAATCTCACCAGGGTTTTCCTTATTCTCATCATTGTAACTCTGCTCATAAAGGGCAAACTTCCTGGGGTTATCTGTGATTTTGAACTTCCTTAAAAGAACATCTATGACTTGTCGAACTGTGGTGGCACTAAACAGAAAATTGAACAGTCACCATTATAAACATTCATATAGATATATTAGAATAAATAATACCATTAACAAATACTCCTAAAATTAGAGTGCTTTAATGGTTTTGTTTTATAATTTCAGTTTGCTAAGGATTTGCATTCAGTGAGATCTACAAAACAACAATTGCAAAATAAGTTTAATTTATTGCTCTTCCATTTTTCTGAACATTATTACAGTAGACTAACAGACTTGATTTAAGCTACAGTATTCCAAACTTAAAAAATATGAAAATGCACACAGGCACATAGGTACATATAGAGGCTCAATGGGGGTGGGGGGGGTGGGGGGGGGAGGGGGAGGGATCAAGTGGTGGTAAGATGGTCATGTTGGGAACAGTGTAAAACTTGGGACTCAGGGTCTCCAGTTGGAAGACCACTTACATCCTCCCACCTCTCTCTGTCTCTACTCTCTATCTCTCTCAAATCATAACTCAGTGCAGTTTACAGTCATACCTGTTTACAAATAAAGCTTTCACTGTATCCCTAGGGAGATAAAATGACGTAATTGTATTCCTGTCCAACGTGTCTCCCTGCGCCTCATTGGTCAGAACCTCGTAGATAGATGGCGGTCTTGTGCCCAGGGACATGCTGATTGGACGCGTCAAGTTCATGTTGACTCGAATGAAACCTTGGAATGTGTCACTGTCATCAGGCTGGAAGTTAAAATAACGCAATAAATAATAAAATAACAAAAGGGTGATAAGGTAATTAAAGATGAAATCATGTGTTGACAGTTTCATAAAATATATATTATTTGACAATGATCACAAAAATTTTGGGGGCTCTTCAGCGGCCTCCGAAACCCACACCAAGGGGTGGGGGGTGGGGGTGAGGGTTGGCGCTGCATCCACAGACCCCCCCCTTAAAACAATCCTGGATCCGCCCCTGAACAGGTATTAATAATTTTAATACCTGACAAATGTCTTAACTGACATAATTATCTCATTAATAATGCAATCTAAAACATAAACTTGGTAGTAGATCAATGATGAGAATACTAAGCATTTCTATCATGTAAGTATGTGACATTTACATCATGTTACATGGCAAACTTCACATTTACATCATGTTACAGGATACATATGAACTTCAAGGTAGGCAAGGATTGTGATGACTCACACCTTCAGCATACAAAATATTGCGTGTTTTACTTCATAATGGAATGTTACTGCAGAGATTTTGCTGTTTTTACCTCTGCCATTAGGAAAGAGATTATGTTTTTATCGTCACTGGTTTGTGGCCGAGATATATCTCAAAAAGCTCTTTAAAGATTTTGATGGAATTCTCTGGACAGATACTTATTCAAGTAAAGAAGCCAAAGTAATTATGTTTTTTACTGAATTCAGATGTCTTGGCATTTTATTCTTACATTTGCATTTTGACTTGGTGGAAATCTGACTTATCAGATTTTTTCTGGCATTATATTTTGAAAAAATAAATAAATAAAAAAATAAATAAATAAATAAATAAATAAATAAATAAATAAATAAATAAATAAAAAAAATAGAAATACCAGCAAAAATGATTCTAATATTTTGAAGAGCCAGTTGGAATGACATCAGAGAGTACAATGCTAAATCACTAATAAAATTTACATTTTGGAATTAAGTTTTTGAAGATTTTCCCTCATTACCAACCCCCGACTTCTACAATATGTAGCCAAATTAAAACAATTGGGAATCCCTATCTCAAAGTAACACAATACATATGGGACCTTTACAGAGCAGAAAAATCCATTTTCCAGGAAATTTCAGTAATTCTCCCTTTTCACCATGGTATAGCCCATACAAAACTGCTGAGAAATTTCTGACCTATACATCTGTTTTTTATTCTTTTTAGTTCTGTCTTTCTAATTTTTACTATCACAAATGGAATTTATCAGTCTTTATTTCCTATACAAGAGTAAGTACAAAGGAACTGAAGACTCAAAAATGTGAAAACAGGTAAGTGGCTCACAAGCCTGTGGATGATTTTTGATATAGACAGTACACCAAAATTATAAAGGGAAGAGTGTCAAATTTTCCAGAAAAAAATCAGTTCCTGTCTTTCAAAAGGGCTTAGGTTGCATTCAGATTCCAACATCGTACCAGCTAAGTCGATCCAACTCTACAGAGATTCTCACTTAAGTGCAATCAACGTAACCATAATAATTTTCAAAAAGTCAATTACCCCCTGCTTGAAGAGGCATGTCAGACAATTGAGCAGATAACACTGATTGCACTTTTAGCAAAATCTCCCACAAACTTGGATCGACCCAGCTGGTATGGTATCTGAATCCGAACTGTCTTCAGCTCACTGCGCGCCCTTCATCTTCACCTACCATGGTCATGGCCAGGCCAGGGTTGCTCAGGTTGAATGTCTCCACCTTGGTGCGGAGTTCCTCCTGTGTGAGAGAGTTATACATGGAGGAGTGGGGACTGCCCGTAGAATATCCAGAGTCAACATCGTCACTTTGCTGGCGAACCTGAAAAAATCAGACATTAAGTTATAGTAATACTGAATCTGGGAAAATGTGGCCTGTCTGCAGAGTATCCAGAGTCAACGTTGTTGTTCTGTTGGCAACGGAAGATATTCTAACACACACACACACACACACACACACACACACACACACACACACACACAGTGGAGCAAAAACTGCATGCATGTAAAATAATCAGAGTCAAAAACATCACTCTGAAAATGCTCAACAGCACATTTATAATAGTGGTTATAAAGTAATTTCTATCCAAAAACATTTCTCCTTGTTCAAATATCAACTTAAATGTGACATTTGGAATCTTTGATCAACTGACTTAGATAACATCCGTCTGCTACATGTACCTCTGAAATATTCACTGCCATTGTTTAAAATACAACAATTCTGCATCCCAAGTAGGCTTTATCATTTATCCATTATTTTCTGCCTCAGAGTGAGCACTTCATTTGTAAAATATATCCCTCAGAAAGCAAACTGCACTGTTCTTTGACAAATATATCCAGTGAAAATTGTGTTCAATAAACACATGTATTTTCCGCTGGTTTTTCGAACAAGAAGAAACCCTGACAGCTAGGAGATAGCATCAAGGATGTCTCTCCCAAAGGTCAGGAATTACTTCGTCTGCTGTCACCAGTAAATGGAATCTCAATGCCTTTTTTTCCCATTAGCACTTCATGCTCTTAACAATTATCTAGGAAATACAATTCATTGCATACAGCATATCATGTGTATCAGCGTGTTAAAAACACTGGCTGATAAAAACTCAAATCACAATGCCTTCTCTGTCATCAGATGTGTACTTTTTTGATGAATATTGTAGACAAATACACGAGAGACTCATCTATGTCATCTGCCACTGATATCCAAGTATCCATGATCCAATCAATAATGTGAGTCACTTCCAAGGGGATTACAGACATGTCGTCTGCTTCATTTATTGTGATATTACGAACCAATTATGATACAGGTTTTTTTTGTCTGGAACTTGTATCTTTATCTTGAGTATACTGACATGAAACTAAATTGTGCACTGATTTTGAGGAGTTGCAGGCAGCTAAGAAAAATGGCTGAACACTTACATCATTTCAGAAATATCGGAAATGCTCCCAAGTAATACTTTTGATAGGCACTTTCATAAATCCTCATTGACAAATCCTAGCATATTTGCCTCAAAGGCCAAACTTTTCCAATAGTTTGAACAATAGTTGCATAACTAAACTAGAAAATTTGATCAGGCTTATCAATTGCCAAAAGCTATACTGTTGTGCAGGAGTTTCCCAAAATGCTGCCATTGGTTATATTTTTGTTGTGGCTAGCCTCTACCCAGAATGATTCAATTTCATTATCTTCTTAGCTATCAGATATGCTAAGGTACTCTCTATTCTCAGATGGAGTTTTGATAGTTTGTAATATAATCCTGAAACTTTTTGGCCCTTTTTTCCAACATTTGTCTCCACCTTCAGATTATTATATTTTCTTGGTATATAACTAATCCCCTGACTTACAGTGATTGTCCACTGTATTTAAGAAAACTGAAATAAAAATGCACATCGAGATCAATTAATGGAACAAATAAGAAATCAAGCACAAACCTTGAACATATCCACCGTCCTCCTTTAATCCTGATATGAATTAAATTTACATAAATACTCAACTTTTCTTTATATAAGACAACCACAAGATGGGTAAAACATAGCTAACCAAACACCAATATAACTACCACACAAATAAACCACAAAACTTTATGCAAGATAATATTACCCAAAATCACATGACACTAAAACTCCATTTCTTCAAAGGAGCCTATTATTCAGCTTCAGTATTCCCTTCTCTGCCCAATTCACAGACAAAAAAACTTTTATGTATCACTATCAAAAGTGACATAAAGCCAGTCCTATGTGATTAAGTCTAAAATTTCACAACAGGTACTTACTTCTGATATCATCTTAATAGCATCTATTCTCATCAGTCCCAAACCAGTGTACAATATCTGGTTAGCCTACTGCAGTTAATCCTCAATGACAAAAAAAATCAGAAATGCCTTCACAGTAACAACCTACTCCCATTTTATGGAGTTTTTCTTACGTGAGCCAGCCGCAACATTATTAGCATTCATGTCATGGTGTGGAATGTTTTTAATGCTTGTATACACAAGGTGACAGGTCCACATTGTTTGAATATCTACAAACCTTCAGTCAACAAGATTATTTTGCTCTTGAAAGTTATATTTTTTGTGCAGTCTATCTTCTGAAAAAGGTGGTATTAATTTCTCAGCAATACACGCATGATTGAATTCGATTTGATATATATTATATATTTGAACATTTTTACATTTATGGGGAATTGTGTACTTTCAGAATAATCATTTCCAAAACGATTAATTTTTTATCTAACATAATAGATTGATGAAATGCCAAAAGAAAAAGCAGCAATCACCATAAAAGCCCAGATTTATTACTAATAAATCACTGACAAAGCTTGTCTTAAGGCCTCCAAGTGTGGTACTTGTAACACAACTGCCAAATAAAGTACAATTCAGCAAGGCATTTTTATCTTCTGATAAATTTACTCTCTACTAGTATATATGATAAAATATAAACATTTACATAACAGATACTGTCAGAGATTTAGGCAGATAACATGCAGATGACAGACAAAATTGACACAGAGCCATATGAAGAATCAATCAATGGAGCTTCTTAAGGAAAAGACATTTTCTTTGCCCTCAGAAAATCCAAAATACATGATCTTTTTATCTCTGAAGTCTGTTATAACTGAATTAAATCTTTCCTGAATTTCTCTCTTTCTAATCTATAAGTAAAAGTCACAAATTATCAATGGTGGCTCTGGAGTTATGTCACATGCCTCTTCATGAGAGGTTTGTGGCTACCTTTTCTTACCATTCCCCTTCCCAAAACTAGTGTAAAGAGCAATTGGAGAAAAAAACAAAGACAATTTTCATTCCCACTCCCAATTAGGCAAATTCCTTCAAGTGCTAGTAGATCGTCCAATGAAATATCTTTTGCACTTCTCCCTTCACTTACTCCTAACTCTCTCACCTTTAAAGCACCAACAGCACTCTCCTTGCTCTCCTCAGCCAAATTCACTCTCTGGCCATACTCTGACCAAGTCATTGCCCCTGCATCCATGATCCTTCACTCATATAACACTGGGCTCATTCTGGCAAAATTTCCCCCTAATTCGATAAATCAAAATTTTCCGCCTGATCTAATTTTTTCCCTGGTCAATGATGTCTGGTCTTAAAGCCATCTTATATGATCTTCATATTGCTTTAGCCACTAGCTGAAGAAAAATCAGATAAGTGGAGGCTTAATTCTATGAGTTAGCTCACAGTACCACTCAACGCCTGGACACTGAAGCATTCCACAAATTGACTAACTGTATCTAGCTAGCTAAGTTGACTGATCTAGCCAGCTAATACAGAAGCTACTGTGTCATGTATATATATATATATATACTAATGATACCCATGACCTTTCAATTTGATTAAAAAACATCTCAAGGTATGACAGCATCGTTTATGACATCTGCCAGACAGCAGACAATTGTCACATACATTTTATCAATGATATATAACAGTTTAATTAAAAGGTGTTGCTATTAATGTGTCAACCAGTGCAGTCTGTTGAGAAATTCGTCACGCTCTCAATTACGCTATCTAGAGGATCTTTCTCCAGGGCAGTATTGGAAATATATGCATTATCCCATAAAGTTTATTTGAGTAAAGGTGCCTATCAATCAAACCACACTAATATATGAAATATTCTGTAAAATACATAATATCATATATTGTACAAACTACTATGTATAAAAACATGAAAAATATTTTATTCATCTAAAGATATATATATATATATATATATATATATATATATATATATATATATATATAGTATGAAATAAAGCTTCAACTTCCTTTCATTTGTTCAGCAATTTTCCATTCTTTTTAACAGTGAAGTCTTGCTGTATGCAACTAAGAATACAAAACATGACACTACTGCTGAATCTAATTAAATCAAAAGCTAATACTTATATGTTCACCATGCCTATGGAAACCTTTGCACTTGTAATGAATCATTATCACTTCCTTATGGTAGAACATATCAGATTTGCATGGCAAGGAAAATATGACAGCAAACTTAATCCCTCGTTTCTAGTATGGGAACATATAATACAACAATATAAGATGTGAAATAATCTATAGCTAGAATTACACCAATGGAAGCTAGGACATTTTCCACATCATTTTCTGGACATTTCACATCAATTTTCTGTAGGTGGAATTTTTACTGGGTGGGGCGGGGGGGTGGGGGGGTGTATTTATTCTCTTTCACAATTTTTCTTCCATATGACCAGACCAATAAAAAACCGTCCTTTAGATTAATCTCTTACATAATAGTTGCATGGGTCATTAAGTTCTCCATGTCTCAAATGATGTGTGATGCAGAAAAGTGTGCAGTGCCATGTGAATTTGGACTAATTAATCTGCTTAAAAAATCAATGTGTAATTTATCTAAAGTAGGAATTTCTTAACTGTGATGCTCTGCTTGAGCAAATTTTGCATTAACAGCCAGAGTGACTGAAATTCAATTTGGACTATTAGCATCAAACAGATGACAAAACAATTTGTTTAAAAATATCTTTTTAACCATCTATTTACTATGCACGCAGCAAAGCCTGAGAGGAATTATGTGTTGACATTCTCACCTGCAGTGAAGTAATTATAGTCCTGGGAAGATTGTCTAAATAACTGATGACATAAGTTACCAATAGAGACAAGCTGCACGTGTAACATACTGTTATACACCCAGCACGCGTAAAGAAAGCACGTGAAAAATTAATTATCTGACAAAGAAAAAAATCTCAAGGCCAGTAAAAAAGTCAGATTTTTCTTTCTCTTAGTAGAATGGCCTGAATAATCTACTGTCATCCAAGCATCTGATTGGTGAATTTATTATTTATCACAACTGTATTTAACAAACTAAATTGTTTATTCTCACTGCTGAGATTAAAAACTGTGTCTACACAATGGCAATTTGCTCAAGGAGTTTAAAAAAACATGGTAAGCAGTCTAAAAGATTCTTTGTCTATCGAGATTTAGGCAGCTTCAACTTTACCCCCCCGCCCCCAACTCAATTTTTTTTTGTGTGTGTGTATGAGACACGTCCCTTTGTCTAGCAATAATTCTTATCTTTGTGTTCATACCTGTCCCTCTTACAAGTGCTGTCAAAGTCAATTTTTAATCAAAATGTGATGGCTAATTTGAAATTCCTTGCCTTAAACCTTCAATAAAATCACAGGCATCTGAAACAGCATTTCTTCCACCAAATGTCACTGATATAAGTTGTGTTAGGTGTGACTTGATTGTGATTTACTACACACAACACTGATCATAAGTTGCATCAAGAGACACTTGAAAATTCATCTGACACATTTTCAGTAAATGTACACACAAAAAATAACTTAAGGTATCAGGTTTTGCAATGTTCCCCTAACGAAGTTTGTAAATTGATTGATTATTAATTGATTACTTAAACTGACCGGATAATCTCTGGAATTAACTTTTACTGAAATATCTTGCCACCATGTATCTATGGATTGCTATGAGGACAGAAACTAACAGTTAAAATAAATCTAAAATGAGAACTGGCTGCTTGACCTCTAGCCTTTTAAACTGACCATCTAAGTAGTACGTAGGTACACATAGTAGTGGTTAGTCAGCAAACTTACTGTCAATCATCACCTCATCCTTTCACTTAATGTAACCTAGACATATAACCGTCCACTACTGAGACAATGCCGATGGTCATTTTGTGGTGACCAGTGTCTCTTAAATGAATAAACACGCACAGGAAATCACCTGCACTAGTGTTACATGACAAATCACTGACTGCTATGGTCAAGTGTCCCTCCTTAATGTAGATAACATTTAAATCACAGACGAGATGACCAGTGCAGGGGTCAGTGATGTCCATAGCTAGCCTGGCCACATCTACAACAATGTAATTTCTCTTCTTTTTGAAAATTTTTCAGTCAGTTTCATCATTTTTTTCAAAACTTCTAAGGAAAAGCAATGTGAATTAAAATGCATATGCAAGTGAATATGTCTCATTTATGAAGTTCAAAATAATAACTTAAAATTACTCATATTATAAATAATAGTAATAGGTCATTTTAACATATTTTCCATGCTAGCATGAGCTTTTGAACATCATCAAAATGTATGCAATATTCTACAGCATAGAAATTAATGTACTAGTAAACACAGTGACACACAAACGCAAACACACACACGATATTCTGTCATTATACAACTGTAAATTTTGTGAATGATCAATCTGAACTACAAATGTTCTGTACTAATGAAGATCACATTATAATACCATAAATTCCAAAACAGAAACAATAAAACTTTAATGCATACCCATTTTTGATTATATAAAAAAAATAATAAAAATAGAAATAATATCTCACCCTGACTACCTTCCCTGGAGTAACCTGAAGTATTTCTGACAGCGAGGTTTCCGCATTCCCGCGCGGCCGGTGGTTGTTCGTGTTCTCGTGTGGACAGTCTATTGACACTAGAGGGCGACACCGGTGGTGACATGTGTAGTTACAATCTGTAAAGAACAAATAAATATAATAATTTTTTTTCAAATTTCACACTTTTAAATCTTTCATTACGGCATGTTCAATTGTGTCAAATTTGGTTTGACACTGAATGGCAGTTATTCACCTTGGATAAAAAATCCCTGAAAACTTATCATTTTTTGCCTATTAAATAGTTTTGTTTCAAAGAAGTTAAAACTTAATTTGCCTGGAATTCTGTCTGAAAAAAAAACATTACTTGGCTTGTGCCATCAAGACCTGCGACATAATAAACAATTGAAAACACACGAGGAATTTCATTATCTTTGCTGCCAACTTAAAAGTTACAATGATAGTTTCTTCAAAACAGAACTAGGTAAAATCAGAGACAAAAACATCAAAAGCGCAAATTATGATTTATAAGTTGTTTTGAAGAAACCATCATCATAACAAAATAATATACAAACAATCACAGTCTGTCTGCAACTTACAGTAAATGCTGCAACACCCCATCATACTAATACAATGGAGTCACCACAGTCCAACATCACAAACTTAGTTCTTCCCTTTTATAAAGATTTGCTTAATTAATATTTCCTTCCATCTGCCTTCCTACTTACATTATCCATTAACAGAAATTATCAGCTTTAATCCAATTATGAAGTCTCCTGACCTGATTAACCTATTGATAAGATTCAAGGAAACTCAAGCTGATCATGCAATTATGTGTATGTTGAAATAATAACTATTTTCTTCAAAATATGGCATAACATAAAACTTTCATTTTGCAATGCTCCCGAAAAAGCTTAATTGCATTTTGTTTTATAGAGGTTGTAAAAAAGTTAAGAGTTGTTTTTCATTAATGAAAAGAAACTGCCCTATTTTCTCAGAAACAATTTTCCAGGAGAAATGATAAATCAACCTATTATGAACGATCTAAGAAGAATCTTTCCGTGATGTATGTCAGACAAATAAATTTAATGCAATTCATTCTGCACAAATCTTAATATAAAATGTGTCCAATTAATTTATTCCAATTCTCCACTTAGACTACTGATTGATGAGTTTTACAGAAACAACACTTGTTTGGAAAAAAAAAACAGGCTTGAAGTGAAGGCCTGTAATCAGAATGAAACTTGTCAGTATCTTTCATGACTTGGACTTCATCCTCACCCATCATAAACCCCTGCAAGAACTATACCATTACTAGTATCCAGTCTCCTTTTTTCTTTCTGTTTTTGCAAAAAATATGTGAAGCATGTCATTTATTATAATGCATGATGATATACTAGACTGAATTAAAACAATTTACTTTTACATTCATTTTCCTCTTTCTTTCCCCCTCTCTCCTTACTTTTAAACACAAGCCAATATTCATACAGCTCATATAAATCTCTCCCATTTTTTCTCCTCTTCATCATTTATCATATCTTCCTTCTCAAAACAAGCCAGCACCAAGTGCTGCTGTTACCTGGCATAGTTCAGATTACCTGCTGCTCTCACCTGAGCAAACAGATACCAGAGATGACTTTCTCTGCAGTGAGCAGGTAAACATGCCGCCATGGACAAATTCATACCCAGCACCCTGTAGAAGAGGTCTTAGTAGCATAGAGTGCACTAAAATATATGTGCTTATACTGAATATTTGGCAATGACGAGAAACAAAGCAATGCCTCCTTGAATATCTTTAAGTACAGGGTGCCAAGATGGATTCAAGAAAGAAATTTATACTAGAGGTTGACTCAAACTTTTACACCACAAAACTTGGTCTCTTCACTGGTAGCATAGCAAGCCTGTAAGTGGGGAAAACACTCTGTTTGACAAAATATAATTACAGTTTTCTGTGACCTTTCAGAAATTTCAAAGGAAACTTATTTTTTCCTGAAAAGTGGACATTCAAAATTAATTTTTACTATTGGGTTGACCCAACCTGAGAAAGGACATAGAACCTCTAGATCAACATTTGATGGTGAATAGGGCTTTTCTGAGTCAAAGTAAATCTTTGGAACCCCCAACCCCCCTGGCTATGGGCATGTAATAAAAACCTTTATTCAAAACATATACAGACAACATGCCTAAAGGCATCAACGTTATCTAAGCTTCACATAATTCTATACAGGTTTCAAGCTTTTGGTTTCCCACAATACATATACATTCCTATCATAAGTATATATATGAACTGACAGGTTCTCTTGTATGATTTATAGTCACATATTTGTACACAGTGTACATTTACATAGAGATACAGGGCACCCTTTCTAAACAGGTACTTGGGAAGTCTTCATTTATGTGCACGGGCTTTTGGAACAAACAGAAAATGTATTTTATACTGAAAACTGCATGAAAAAATGTGCCAATTCTGTTTTTTTTAATCATAATGTTCTCTTTAAGTACCCTAGTATGTAGGCCATCCATTGGTCATCTAATATTAAGTACACATATAAATCTATATTCAAAGATCCTTCCAAGATTATTGAGGTTAACTTATAAGTGGTTCCTCTCCAGAAAGTCTCCAGTAAGAGTAACTCTTTAAGTTGTTGCCTTTTAATCTAACATTTTAGACCAAAGTGCACTTGAATTTAATAAACAAAGTTTGAAACACTTAGGACTGCAATACCAGAAGGTTCCAGGGCAGAATAGCTCAGGAAGGAGACTGCCATGAAGTGAAAATACAGCATGGGGCCAATGATATTTTTGTCTCCCAAAAAGTCGGTAATCTGCTGGTAGTCTCATCCTGGATGGCTTTGTCACATCAGTGTTAAGTTGTTGATAACATGGTGGAGATGAGAGTGCAGGAAGTGATTTCCCCTACCTTTCTTGTCTGTTTCTAATAGAAGAAGATAACCAATAACCAGGTGTGAAAACAAACAAACATCACTTTCCTGCAGCACACTCTTGGATGTAGCTTTACAAAAAAGGTCAAATTTTGTCTTTACTTAAAGCAAAAATATAGTGTACATAGATCATTAGTAGCTGACTTGACAGCAGTAAACATCAGTCTTAGAAAAAGGCAATTTCTTGCTTTTTGTTAAAAGGCCTCATATTCTCATCATTGGTCAAAAGCTTATTATCCTGGCTAAATTTTAATCTAAAACTTTCAGTCTTAAAGTTGCAACCAAAATGTGACCTTATGAGTGCTTTGGTAAAACCAACCTACTCTATTTAATATCTAAACTTGCCTTACAAACCACATATGAATAATTCTAAACAAAATGTGTCAAAGACCACAAACGTCACACATAACTATTCCTCTACAACCTGTCATTCATATCCAATTAAAATGGGCAATGTTGATAAAAAAACAGCCAACTCGGACAAAGCAACTTCCTTTGGTATGAAATATCAGACCTCCCACCTATGTTCTTAATTCCAGACTAAACTTCCAATCAGACACCAAATCTGACACATCAACCTAGACAGATAAATATTGTGTACTTAATCAGATCTTCTTGAATCTCTTCTATGCCAAAGAAGATAGAGAGAGCAAGGGAATGGTATTCATCTTTACACTTGCTAATGTTGTTAATTCTTTTTTGGTTTAAGTAATTTTATTTTTTGACAATAAAAAAAAAGGGCAACCTGCCAAAAACGACATTTGTAGTTTATATTTTGGTTATGTACATGCTGTCAAATTGTAGAAAACTTATGTATTTTTATACAATTTGAGAAATATGTCACACTATTTCTTACTAGCCTAACATTTTAACAAAGTACTTGGTTTTATATACTGTGGCATTTCCCAAGTTCTGCTAATACAGGGGAGAAGCAATTCCAATTAAGGTATGACTTAATCTTACCTCAGGTTCAGTGCCAAAACTGTGAAACATTATCTTTATTTATTACCCTTGAAGAAGTAAACAAGGAAGAAGGTAGTCTAGCTGGGCTCAGGGCTGATAATTTTTTTTTTGCGTTATATTTCAAATATTTTAAATTTCTACTCTAAACCACTGTTGCTTGATAATTACTGATTTTCTTACTAAAATAAATATTTCTGAAAATGATTTACATTGAACATGTCCTTGCACCTTGGAATGTGTTTTTTTTACCAAAAAGGTAATATAACCTTGGAGTAACTTGATTGCAATTAAATGCAAGTGCACACACACAAAAAAGAGATTCCAGACATTTGCATTTCTTGTCTGATGAAATTCACATATTTTTAACCACCTGCCACAACCAGAATCCAAACACTTTTTCTGTTCTTTTTTTTTCTTGGATGGTTCTTGGAAACTGTACCAGAATTACATAATCAGTGATCCCTTGCGTATTAGTACAGGGAGTGAGGTGAAGTTACGGCTTCTGGAAAATTCATGGTTTTTGTTTTTGCCAGGATGGAAAGCTGGATACCCCATTACCTTGAATGCTTTCTGTGCAAACAAAGTAAGAAGATTTATCCAATACTCATTAGTGACTATAAACACTGAAAACATTACTCTCTTTCTGATTAAATGCTCCACTCAGCTCTAGGAAAATTTCGATGAACAAAAAACCACGGAACCCATTTTGATATTATCTCTTCATTTTCATCTACACTTAATAGCAGTTGGAGTGTTTAAATAATTTACATGGCACGTCATCCTCTAGATTTGAGCTTGAAGGTCTTTTTGGGATTGTCAGAAAAAAAAACTACAATAATTTTTTTATTACATCTGAGTGAAACTGATCAAAAATATTTCCAGAAACAACATTTTATCCGCATACAAATAATCGTATGAACATTTTGAAAAGGGAGTCACATTTTTCTATAATTTTGGCGAGAAACAGAGGACAAAAATTTTGTAAAAAAAAAAAAAAAAATGGAATTAGTTATAATAGTTAAGATTCATGAATAATTATCACAAAAATAACAAAACACACATGTACAGAAGCAATGCTATTTTTGAGCAGGAAAACTCGCTGACAGATCTACAAGACAGGTAACACAGGTAACTTGATAACCGGACATATTTCTCCAGATAAAATATATCTTCAGATGCATGCTGGCTGCATCACTTCCCTCAGAATGGTGCATTTCTGTGAAGTCTGCCTTAACAGGGGTAGATACAAAAATACAAGTATTGGGTAGATATACAAGTACTGACAGAGTCTATATATAAGGCAAACCCAGATATGAATACAGGCCCGTAGCCAGCAATTTCAAAAGGGGGGTTCTTTTTCTGAAAAAGTGGACCTTTTTCCATAAAAACTTCATGTACCTAGGTCAAATTTCACCCAGAGTGGACCTTTTCCCAGCAAAAGGGGCTGTTCTTTCGAACCCCCCGAACCCCCCCTGGCTACGGGCCTGAATAGCTCATCTTCTTGAACCTTTTCTATTTTTTTAAAGTTATTTTTTCAGGTATTTGATATGGGGTGTGTGTGTGTGTGTATGTATACAAACATGCATCCAAGAGAGAGAGAGAGAGAGAATCAAAAGCACTGAAATTCAACCAAATAACAGGGGACTCATCTCAATCACTTCATACTTGACCCGACCACTGCACTCAGTTTTCTTATCATCTTAGTTTACACCCCACACATAGGCACATGTCAAACCATCACTCAGCACAACTGTCAGAAGGCACCAGACTATGGACACATTCAAGTGACATTTAGATGTCATCTTAAAACAACCAGGTTCAAGTTCAACAATACTAGGATCAGTTTAACAGAGGCTTGCCAGGGGTGGTTCCAGAGATATTTTCTGACAGTCTTCAAAATTATATTTGATGATCCATCTCCCATTTCTGACCGTCTTCCAACAGAAAATCAGATACCCATCAATGTAAACTTGAAAATCTGATCGTCTTCCGGAAGACACAGAAGATGCCATCAATCTGCCCCTGCTTTCTGCAGTTCACCAGTGACTTGCATGTCAGTCCCCTTGAGAGCTGATGTGATCCCCTGGAAAGCTGCTGTGCACCCACTACCTTGATATCAATCAGCAGTGTGAATGAGGTCTAAATTGTGTAAGAGAGAGATCCACAGATATCTTTACCTCTGCCCCCTCTTTGAATATACATGCCTATCTTGAAACTTCAAACCATGGTCAGGATATTGGCAAACTTTTACTGTGCTATAGGGACCCTGATCACCTCAATCAGAGATCATATCTCGATTTCACCTGACCAGCAGGTGCCCCATACTAATCAAAAGATACTATTTAAAATAAATTACTGGAGCTACATGAATCCATTCCTCCCCCCCCCCCCCACCCCACCTTCTCAACAACAACTAAAATTTAAAACTTGGTCACAGATTGAATCAATTCTTTAAAAACATTTCTTGCTGAAGATTTTGGAAATATTTAGCCCTTTTTTTTCTGAAACTGCAGCTTGTGATGATAATTTCACATTCCTATTTTTATGAAAAGGACAGTCATACAGAAAAGGTGATGGTAGGTTATATTCCAGGATGGGATGGGGGTGAAGCAAAGTTATGGAATATATACAAAGGTTTTCTGCACTACTAATTGTAATTATTTAGCTAATAAAGCATGTGAATTTTTATAGAAGAAAGAGAGAGAGAAAATATAATGCTTTATTAACAAGTGCGTTTAGCAGAGATATACATTTTGAAAGCTTGGTTATTGCTAAAATTAGTAAAGATACAATTTTACTATAAACAAACAAACGAAAAATCAATAAATAGTAGAAACATTTCATCATATAATAATAACAATATGTGCAACATAACTAACCCTTCATATCTTTGAAAAAATCATCAAAGCTTAAACTGTTTCTCCAACTTTAAATTACAAACATCGACCTATCATCATCTCCCTTATAAGATGCTGCTACTCCTTGCTTTTTATGTATACTTATAGAAACTTGTAGATATAACCTGTTCTAAAACAAACAGCTTTAAATACTCAAAGTGCAACCATCTCCAGAATTTTAGAGTTTCCCTAGCTTCTCCTAATGTATGAAAAACGGTGATATCTTAACTGTTCATAATGAATGTTCATCTGAATATATATATATATATATATATATATATATATATATATATATATATATATATATATATATATATATATATATATATATATATAATGAAAAATAATACAGTGCTTATTACGTCAAATTTTATTTTTTTTTTTCCTGTTTATTTACGTAGATGCCATTTGGCAAAAGAAAAAAATGGTGATCTGGTTTGAAAGAGAGACAGAAAAATAAGTCATTTATCTTCCCAAAACAGATGACTGTTGCATCATGCACATCTATGCACTTATCTTTTGAAAGATTTTTTTTCACATAATGGATGACTAATTGACGTCTGCTCATTTCAGTTTGGGAGACCTTTGGCAAACTGCTTTGAAAAAAATCGATAAAAATGTCTGACATTTAATGAAATTCTCTGAAAACCATGGAAAATTCCAGAAAATGTTTTTTTTAAGCATCAGTGAGACTCAGAGTTGGCTTTAAAGGAAGCTACATTTGATGTTTAAGAAGTGATGTAAATATAGAAAAGAGATTTCTGTTTTGCATATGTTAACAAAGCCACATGGATAAATGTATACAAGATATCAGATAAAACTGCACGCACTGCCAAATGAACAGGAATATGGTGAACCAGACCTACCAAAATATTATTCCCTTCCGTAAATACTGTTATAATTAAATAATCTACAATACCTACTTGTCTCCTGCAGTGGAATAATGTAAATAAAATTTAAAGAAAATCAAGTACTAGTACAACCTTATTATGAAGCATCAAAAAATGATTTCTTTCTAAACATTATATAATTTTTATTTTGGGAGGATGGGGGCTGTAAAGAAGGAGGAGATAGAAGTTGTTGCTGGTCTTTTTGTAATATATATTCAAAAGTAAAATTAATTTTGTCTCATTTGATAACTGATAATACAGTAGGTAAAAGAAAGGGAGCCAAATTTTAGCAAGGTTTGAAAGTATTTGTGAATAAAAGCAACTGTGCAAGACTCGTACATATTCATGAGTAGAAATAATAAACATAAAACTATAAAATACTATGGAATAACTGTGGAATAACATCAAAGGGGGGATATTAAGCAAAGTGTGCATATATTAAAGCATTATTGATAACCAAAGCACAAAAAAATAAGCAAAGACAGTAATATCCTTTATGTAAAAATAACCAAATAAATGTATAAAGAAAATAAAAAAAAAAATTTGATAAAAAATATTATAAGATATCCAGGTAAGAAAAGTAACACAGTTTCTTCAAACAGATCAATTATCAAAATGTTTTTCATCCAAAGAATATATATACTCCAAAAGTGTGAGTGGTTAGTTTTATACTTCCATGACAGAAGACTGTTAGTTTTACACACTCCAAAGATGTTTTAGAAGTTTTAGTTAAAGAAGATTGTGAATGCCTGATACAGGTACATCCAACACAAGAAGTGATGCCAGCAAAGTGGGGAAAAAAGTGAACAGCTGATCCAACATCAAGAACTTGAACGAAAATTGACAGACGAAGTCACAGTGAGCAGCAGAAAACACCACCACCATCACTAGGTCATGATAAACTAGGTCAACCAAGGTCAAAGGTCAAGAAAAGGACTTACTATCATCACAGGCAGAATCACAATGATCACAGGTGGCTGGAGTCTGCTTTGACCGTTTCTTCTGACCGCAAGATGGACAAGACTTTGATTGCTTCTTATCTTTTTTATCACGCTTGCCTAAGAATGAACTGTGCGAGAAAAACTTGTCATCGTCTGAATCATCTGAATCGAGATTTAAATCTCCAAATTTTTCAGCACAAGTCTTCCATCTTTCTCCCGGAGGTTTATCACTGAAAAACTCCTCCATAATGGCACTGCTCATAGTTTCAAATTCCTCAAAGAAACTTGGTTTCTTTTTTCTACGTGAAGAAGAGGAACTTTCTCCAAAAATGTCCTCCATTTTGGGGGAGGAAAAGAAACTGTCACTAAAGGCAGACTTACTTTTGTCCCTGGAGCGAGTACGTCTCAGGTGTGGTCTAGATTTTTTATCAAACTCATGCTGCATGCCAAAGGGATCACACTCAGCATCAAACGGAGAGAAAATATCTTGAAACTTCTTACCGCAGGGTTCACCTTCACCAAAGCTCTGATCTTCAGGATGACCTTGACCTTTGGAATCTGTGTCATGGTCACTTCTCTGCAATGGCGGACGTTTGCCTTTATGCTCTTCACTCTCCTCATCTGTGGAGCCATGATAGTGTTTGAATTCATCCGTAAATTCATTGAAACACTTCTCAAAGTCTGACAGTTTGGGGTTCTTTGTCCCAAAATTCACTTTGGCAAACTTCTGCTGTAAGTTCTTGGCCCCCATCTTGGGGCTCCCCCCACTGGGAGACCCTGGAGGCTGAGGGGGTAACTCCCGGGACCCCTGGGACCTTATCCTCATGATGATCCTCTTTTTAGGTTGAGGATTCTGAGCCATGGTGTTAACAGTCAGTAACTAGAGATAACAGCAGTCTTTCAAATTCAGCCTATAGACACAGTGTATATCTATGAATAGTCCATGTACAGATGATATCATATAAGTCCACAGTACTAGTACTTTTTTTTAGCTTCAGTCAACATGTATGTCATCGGCGTACATATAATCCACACAATGCAAAGCAGAAATTTCTTCCCCAAATCTTTTGGCATTTATATAGTCCTCGGAATAACATCTCACAGAGTATATGCGCCCATCACTGTGTGGGCTATATACCTGTCTTCTCTGTTGCTTGCTAAGCCAAATCACAGTCTGAGGATGAAGCAAACACCTGAGTTTCCAACTATTTTCTATTCTGAGATAGTTATTACTCAACCTGTGAAGGATTCCAGCAAGGTCACATACTTATGAGCAGAACCAATGGGAATGACTGTACATGTACTGTACCTTCTTCGAACTTGGCATCCTTCCTGTGCTTGGGAATACATATATAACAACTATCACAACATCCAAGGTTGATCAGAGATAATGTTAACTCTGAAGAGGAGACCACTTTACTGTTTAATTTACCTGTAGTAATCATACACCACACCTGGTTCCTCTATAGCTATTCTCAATATTCCCATCAGCTGATTTTAACACAGACTAGAATTTTCCAGCTAATGTATCACAGAGGTTTTATGAACTCTTAGAGAAGGGTGGAGCAGAATAAATGGCTCGTTCCAGAGTAAAGAATCAGCTGACTGTGCCTGACCCACCTACGGAATGTGCAGTGCCCCAGAAAATATGTTTATCCGGATGAAAAAAAATGTAGCACTTGTAAGCTACATGTTGCCCTCCTGTGTTTAGTGGTCCGTATCAACATGTTATCATACTTGCGCCGCAGTCACCTCTGAATGCACACCTCACGTACTTAAACATGCACGCACGTGGTCCGTAGACTTGGCTCAGAATTCAGATCTACAGTCCCTACCTCTACACTAAACTAAGCTCAAGCTGTAAGCTGATACACTGGCTTTTCCTGAGGCGGACTGAATCATGTTCCGACCAGTAAGGCTACACAAGGGGGTTACCACACGTGCCTCATTTCTTTTCACATGATCTTTTAACTGTGCTCTGTGACTTGTGGCAATTGTTATTTAATGACAGAAATTTGACAGAATAGACACACAGAAGATACCACCCCTTTCTTCATAAGAATCAAAAAAGACTGATACCCACTTTTGGTTGCTAAATCCCACTTTTGAGTACATGCTAAACAATGACTAATTTGACATTTTTGATTTACAAACTGGGACTTTCAAGAATGTCATTGTATTATTTTGAAAGTAAGGAAGAGCAGACAATGGGAACAAAAGAGAAACTTCATCTCCTCCTCCTTGCAATGTTATCACAATCAAACCAGGAAAAATCTTGACAAGTTTATTGTAGCTTTAAATATAAGGTTCAGCTAGCTTTTGCACGATCATTTAAGTTTTTTTAGTGGAAGATTTATTGATAGTATTTTAACAAATTCATAACTTTACTCATTTATTACAAACAGTTTGGAGGTCCATAGTTTATACTGGTGGTTTATAAAGCTAGAATAAACCATTATTATTATTATTATTACACACACACTTGTAATGGAAACTTTTTAATGGAAACTTTCACTTTCTTAGTTGAATATCTATCAAGATCAAAAGTGAGCATACAGTTCATCAAAGCGAAACTACATACTGCACCTTCAAATATTGACTGTGTAATGCGGTAACAAGACACCTCTTCTCTAACAGGATGTAATTCCTGTTTATCATAATCAGAAGTCCAGCTGTCAAAGTTAATCAAAGAGATATTTTGTATCATCATTTAAGTACACATGGTGTGGCCACTTATCTGAATATTAACGCACCCTGGGTACCATGGGGAAATGTAACTGATCCTGCTATATGGCCCTTGCCCTCCTCACCCAGGACCCCAGGGAAATCGGGTATGAACATGATATCATTATATCTGTTCTTGATACCTAGAGGAGTTTGAATAATTCTAAAAATATTTTTCAATTAAGGATGAACAGTCATGAGTTATATCCATTAATAAATTTATACAGGAACAATGTTATCATAAGTGTTAATTAAATGATTACAGAAATCAGGACCCCCCCTTAGGAGATATCAAATCTTTCACTGAAAAAAATTAAATTAAAATAAAACAGATCTGATAAATAAATAATATAATCATCCTTATCTCTATCTTTTTATCTCTCACTAAAAGTTCTAGAAAACTGTCTTTGTAAATTCCCCTCCAGCTATCTTAATCAGCATCCTGACAACTATCATCAAATCCAAATGTTATTTCTTTTTTGTTACTTCACATCTAATTAAATCAGTGTGATTTATTATCTTTCTCTTTTTTTTTCAGAGCTGTCCTCACGCATTCCTGATTTTCAGTGGTGGTTTTTCTCATAGGAAGGCAGTGCTAGTGTCTTTCAAGCACTGTCTGCAGTGCCTCAGATGTCAGAATTTCAGCCGTCTAAAGAGACTTGTCACTAGAGGGGAAAAAACATTCACAGCTTTGACAGGAGGGTGGAAAAAGGGGAGTGTGTTGTGTCTGTGTTTGGAAATAAACTCTACAGTTATTGGACTAATAAAGATACCCCAGTAAATACTGTACTTGTTTTATTACTGTGATAATTTATTGGAGAAAACATTTTTTTATGTTCTGTCACTTGTAGGGTGGAGAAAAGGTAGCTGATTAAGTGATCTTAAAGTTGTCTGGATTCACTCTGAATGTTGTTTTTTTTTAAGCCATTCACTTTAGCAAATATATTTCAATATTACAGTCAATTTCCAGAGAGTAAGGCTTCGTTCACATGGAAAGTCTATTTTTCTAAAAATCTATTTTCTATTCGCGGTATCTTATGATCATGGTCTGTGCCCTGAATATCCCGCGGCGTAATTACTGGCAGCGCGAGCCAGTTACTTCCAAAGCTGTAATTAATTCTCGGCTGCGCTCGGAGTGATCATAAGAGACCGCGAATAGAAAATAGATGTTTAGAAAATAGACTTTTCATGTGAACGGAGTCTAACATTCAACATGGAAGGAGGCATTTTATATTTGTTTGGTCTAGCTCAAATATAATTGGCTCAACATATGAACACAGTTTGCAAATGCTGAAATTTTGGTCAAGGTAAAAAGAATATCAGAATTTCAAATCAATTTTAAAAACAATTTTGGGGGTGTTTATTTTCCTCTCTTTGGCCCCTGACCACACAAGGGATTGACAGTGTGTGTAAACAAATAAAGTCACCCACACCCTCAGCTATGTGGACATATCCCAACATAAAGTTCAAGTGGCTTTCCTTTATATACACCGCCAAATAAGTACTCGAATAATCAAACTAAGACAGGCATATTTTATGGTTCAACTTCAAACTATTGTGACCCTATCATCAAGTGGAAACCCTTTTAGGCAGGGGAACTGGGGGGGGGGGGGGGGGGGGGGCTGCCTTTTGGCCAAAAAAGGGCGGTCGTTTACCAAAAC